ATTATTATTGTTTTCTTTTTTGTCTATTTCTTTTAACTTTAGTCTTACTATTAGTAATGTGTTTATTTATATATCTATTTGCATTTATTTAATTATATATATATATATATATATATATATATATATATATATATATTCATGTATATATATATATATATATATTCTTCATATATATATATATATATATATATATATATATATATATATATACACGCATACGTACAGTCAGTTTTGTTAGTGTATGTATATATATATTTGTTCTCCATTGATACCTGTTTTCTAGTGCGTACCCGTATATGTGTGTGCTATCCGGCCATTATATCATGTGCATGCTGTTTGTCAATGATCTATTTTTGGCTATGATCTATTCAATGCTGGTTTAAATTTGTCTATTATTTTGAATTTGTTAAAAAAAGAGTAGTTGTCTGTTTGGTATATTGGCATAATTTTAAATTTGCTTTGATTCCATTACGTACATTTTTTTGTCGGGTAATTTAATGCTGCTTTTGGGAAGGGTAAGTGTTTGGCTGATGCCTATGTACGGCTTCTTGCAATTTGTGCATTTGAGTGCATAAATCACATTTGGATTTGCAGTTTAAATTGTTATTTATTGTGAATATAGTTATGGGTTTTTCAAAAGAGTAGGCGTCCCCTTCTACAATGACATAATATATAGGTACACACACACACACAAACACACACACACACACACATATATATATATATATATATATATATATATATATATATATATATATATATATATATATATATAAAATAGAAATAGACCACTTTAAGGTTCTATGTAATAAATTATTTCACCACATCCCTTTAAAATTTTTTTTTTTTCCTATTTGTAAATTTAAAGATTTTCGTGGGTGTTCAGATTAGGATACTTTTTAGTTTTTATTTAACTACGATTTGAAATATTCTCATTTTTAATTTTTATTATAGTATATTTTTTCATGAACAGTTAAATGTATTAGAATCCCTTATATTATGTAGGATTATTTTTACAACACGTATAAGTATGTATATTAGGGTACATTTTTTTTAAGTAAAATTTATGACAATGACGGCAAAAATAGTTACTTAATTTACTGATTTAGTAAACTTTTATTTTTTTTTATATATAAACCTAGTAATATATTATTTCTCATGTAAGTATAAAAGACATGGGTCATTCATAAGCTTACATCTTCTGGCATTTCATATTAATTTTATTTTACTTTAGGTGTTTTATTGGATTCTTTTAAGTGCGTGTAGTACTAAGTAAAAAAGTTTAGGTTAGAATTCATTTTATTTAACTACAATTTTAATTACAACAATTTGCCTGGGTGTGTAAGAAAGCCCAAATTGTCACTGAGAACAGCATTAAATGTATGTCACGAGGTTAATCTAAACCCAATAGTTGTTTTGAAAGGCATCGCCAAAAGTTGGGATAAGCCGAGTATCAGAGTAAATACTGGACAATACAACGTTGTTTAAATAGAAATGATTTTTATGGAAACCGACCGCGACTAACCCCTCTTCATAAACCGTGTCACTTTGTTGCTCGGTTTAATTTTACTAAAGTAGAGGGGAATTACCAGGAGATAATTGATAACTGACATCCATGGCACCTGGAACTAGAACAGTCTACCCCAGTGAGTGTAATAAAGGATTTAAGGCCGGAGAGTACAACGGCCGAAACGTTGTGATAAATATTGCAACAAAGATGAGCATGATAGTCCGAACAATGTAAATATTGAACATTCCACTTATTAACATTGTTATTTTGTTCATATTTTTGTTTATTTTAATAACCCGCATTGTATTAAAAGTAGATATGTTTAGATATACTGTATGACGTTACAGGTAAATTTACTGTAAAATTAGTGTAATTTCTGTACAGCTTTGCCATAATAATTTACTATTCTAATGAAAGGTGCAAGATAGGATAGCTAAACTTGCATATATGTCAGGACAAATAGGTACCCGAGGAAAAAAAATGGAAATAAAAAGAAAGAATTAAATCATCAGAACAAGACGAAACACACACACACACACACACACACACACACACACACACACATATATATATATATATATATATATATATATATATATATATATTAAAAAAAGAAGAGGGGTGCCGCAAACGTTTTTGGTTGTAATGTGGATTTATTGAGAAAAAATATTATACTTTGTTTTTACATAATTTCACGACACGTGTTTCTGGTCTGGTCATGCGAACCGTCTTCAGGTGAAAGTGGAGATTTTTTTTTATATTATTAAAAATAATTAATTTTTCTTCATGTTCAATGTGGAATATTCTCGATATGAGACATTCTGTTTGTGTGTTTAGCAATCCGAATTTTCTTTCTAGAATTGTCAATGAAGAGTTCTGCGTGAAGGGTCATAAAACAATTAAGGTTTGTCCAGCGAGTAGTTATCGGCATTTAATCTTTTAATGTTTTAGTGACCTCTATGTGCTCTTGGATCTGTTTCTATTTTGGCGTGTTCCTGTCAGCATGCGTGTATATATGTGCGTATATTTCCTTACTACGAGGAATTCGTAAACTTATTTGTACTTATACACGCATACACACACATACACACTATCCCACCACAAGTAGTCAGTACACACACACATATACACACATATATATATTTGGTTGGTATGATGTGAGTTTGTGACCCTGAGTTTCACGCTTTTGCGATTGTCAGACAAACCAAATATGTTAGCTCTATCTCTGATATTGAGCGCTTTCTAATAAGTACCGCGCATATAATATATAAATAATTATATATATATATATATATATATATATATATATATATATATATATATATATATATATATATATATATATATATATATATATATATATACAAACACTTTTCACACACATATATATATATATATATATTTGAATCAGGCATCTCGGTATGGCGTAATTGTTATCAAGCTTGTCTCGCTAGATCTATTGCGACTGAGTTCGATCCTCACTGGGTCCCCAATACTTTCGGCCTTGTGCCACATCTGAGCTATGCTTGGAAAATCATTATATATATATATATATATATATATATATATATATATATATATATATATATATATGTGTGTGTGTGTGTGTGTGTGTGTGTGCGTGAGTAGTTTTAAGTTATGCTATATTTATAGGTAAAAGTACAAAATATCACGGATAAAGCGTATGTAATAAAGAATTAGTTATAAAAAACGAATAAAAAGTTAACATCACTATAAAATAGTTGCACATAACCGTATTCTTATCCACAATTATTCTTACTAAATAACTTGTAAAATAACTTTTAACCGTTATTTCTTACCCAATAATCGTTAGGATAATACAAGAGACCTTGCAACATTTTATGCACCATGGACCATCATATATTGATAATCAAACCAAAACACATGAAACAGATTGTCGCCGCTTAGTTTTCACCTCATTGTCCACTTACATATGCAGGATGCAATGGATAAATTGTCAGTATTTTATATTTTTAATTTTGCGCATGCGCCTTGTCGTCTTTTAATATTTTGTCTACTGTACATATTGTAAGGTCAGTTGGCCACCGTCTGTGTTAAAAAGAGCACCATGATGTAATTCCCTCCGCCAGAAATTTAGAAAACGGCATACTGTACGCCTCGGCATTTGCACCGGAAGCTCCAATATGAACATTTCAGAGTGTTGGGATGTCAATGTGAGGAGTAGGCAGAGGATTCGGAAAGAGTTTGTTGAGTCTAATGGTGATTACGAAGGTACGGCAGCTTGAAAAAAATAACTCTGATAAGAAAAGAACTCCCGAATTTGTTGATGAGGGCCTGACCCAACACGGAGGCTTACATCAAGTGCCTTGAGCAGGTAGTGCTGCCTTGGATCCATAAGGTGGCTGCTGAAAGACCCTATCTCTGGCAACGTGACTCTGCTACATACCACACAAACACGAGACCCCAGACATGGCTGTCAGACAATTCCTGTGGCCATCTCACCCCTTACATCTGGAAACCTAACTCTTCAGACTGCGGGTCCTTTAATTATCATCTGTGAGGCGCATCTGTGCGTGAGAACAACAAACTCTTTTTAACACCTAGGAGGAACCGAAGGCAAGAATTACGACAGCGTTCAGCAACTTTTACAAGGAGACCCTCCAGAAGAGTTCCAGGAGATTCCGAAGTCGTCTGGAGGCTGTGATTGTAGCCAATGGCGATTTTATTAAATAAATTTAGTATTTCAAGATGTTTTTGTGTAATTTTTTCTAAATATATCTGTTAAAATGTGATGTCTCTTATCTTCATTTGTACCTAATTTAGACGAGAATTTATCCATTTTACACTGTGTATATATTTGTCTTTTTTTATCTAGCCACATGCAAACATTCATGTAGAATGAAGAAGAATAAATCAAGGTATATACTATTTCTAAAACCAAAAGGCAGAATGACCAGGATAGTTTAGACGTACATTTCAGATTGTAGATCTGTGTATCTAAAAAAATCGATACTGAACAGCGCAGCCGGATCTTGTTTCTATTCAATAGGGATTAAACCTATCAAGGAATATGAAAAAAGAAAAAAAAGATCTGATTGAATTGGACGTGAATGGCATCTCGTTTCCTGTCCAGAAGTGAAAATGGTCAAGCAAATGTCACCATGTCAGTCAAGAGTCGAAGGAAAGCAGATGATCAGATTCTCTTGTCAAAAATGGAAACACGTTACAACAGAAAGATTTCTCCTAAGTAAAAACATACACAGCCTAACGAGCATTGGAAATGTATCTGCTTAGTAGACAGCGTGTGAGTAAAATTATAAATATGGATTGAAATATATGTCGATTATCAGTAGATGTATCAGCTAATGCAAATCCATAGCCTGAACTTCGTCCATGACGAACTTGTGTGATATTCTCTGCAACGTCTTTCTAAAATAATTTCCCCCCCAAACAAAGCATTAAAACCGCTAGGATGTCATGGGTTACTGAGTGTGAAGAAAAAAAAAACTATTAAGGATAGAGAGAGAGAGAGAGAGAAAGTGGGGAAATGGGAGAGAGATAGAGAGAAATAGAGTGTGAGTGAGATAGAGTGAGAGAGGGAGAGAGAGGGGAAAATATTGAGAGAGAGAGAGGGAAGATGGAGAGAGAGAGAGAGGGAGAGAGAAGTGGAAATATTGAGAGAGGGAGAGAGAGGGAAGATAGAGGGGAGAGAGGGAGAAAGAAGGAGAGAGAGGATTGAGAGAGGGGAAGAGATAGAGAGAGGGAGTGATATAGAGTGAGCGAGAGAGGGAAGATAGAGGGAGAGAGAGGGAGAAAGAGGGAGAGAGAGGATTGAGAGAGGGGAAGAGATAGAGAGGGGGAGTGATAGTGAGAGGGTGAGAGACGGAGATAGAGGGAGAGAGAGGGGGATATATTGAGAGAAGGAGAGAGAGGGAAGATGGGTTATGAGAGAGGGAGATAGAAGGAGAGAGAGGGAGAGAGAGAAGGAAAATAGAGGGAGAAAGAGAGGAAGAGAGAGGGTCTTTCAGAAAACAATTAAGGGAAGAGAGAGGGAGAGAGGGAGAGAGAAGGTCTTACAGAAAAAAACTATTAAATAGAGAGAGAGGGAGAAATAGAGGGAGAGAGAGGAAGCGAGATAGAGAGAGAGAGAGAGAGAGAGAGAGAGAGAGAGAGAGATGGTGATATATAGAGAGGGATATAGAGGAAGAGAGAGAGAGAGTATCTTCCAGAAAGTTGACAGGAAATGTGAATAGGTTTCTTTGATTCCCGGTAGATTGTTGAAAGAGGTTTACAAAATGAAAATCTGATGTTTTTAGCAAGGCATCGCATTTTTTTTCACCCCGAGAAAGACAATAAAGCCACTAAGACGGAAGGGCTTGGGTATTTTTAAAGAATATGAGAAGGAAAAAGAAACAATATTAAGCAGAAATAATGATAAAAGAACAGGAATTGAGACAGAAGAGAATGATTGGCATTGAATTTAAATTTTTGAAGATCAAAGTTGACTGGAAAGCAAGTAACCGGAAGAGAGTTTCACATGTTAGAAGTGCGAGAGAAGAAATTGTTATCATAGAACTTACGGTTGTATGTAACAATTTCAAATGTAACATAATATGACCTTGCTAGCAATGTAAATATATAAAACCTAGGTACCAAAGAAGAAAGCTCCTTAGAACAATTAACATGAAAATATTTGTAGAAGATCCCTGTCTAATCTCCCTTTCACCCCTGTAGGATTTTTCATAGAATACAACAAAGAAAAAACATATTTCTCCAAGCCAAGAACGTAGAAAGTTTCATACAAGCAATTACGAAGGACATTCAAAAGATTTGTGGTAAAAACATGTTATAAGAAATCTATAAATACATAATGATATTTATTCGTATAAAATTAAACTTAAAATTATTTTCAACCTATATCTAACTGAAAAAGGCTATAGATTCAATTTTAAAACAATTTAAAAACAATCATATTTAAAGTAGCATGACTCATTTCAAGCTTTAACCAAGAATTAAGGAAAAATTATTGTTAAAGATTATTGGTGCTTTGTGAAAACATTATGAATGTAATAACCCAAAAATAGAATAACTATTTACAAATAGGGAAAAATCATATGAAAAGTGAACGATATAGAGTTGAATATGGCGAGGTGTTGGTATGCCATCAACAAGAGTTTGTAAGGAAAAAATAGATGCCGTTCAAGATTTAATTAAAGTAAAATAACTATTTACAAATTGGGATAGATGATTTGAAAAATGAACCTATTGGAAAGCAACTTTGGCCACCACAATGCGTCTTCGGATCTCAGTGTCACAATCTCCGTTCTCTGTTATAACTCTACCCATATATCTAAATTTCTGTACTGGCTTGATTTTACTATCCCCGACCTGTAATTTGCATTTTGGGTCCGAACTCTTGTTTATAACTATGCATTCTGCCTTCTTTAGCTTATACTTAGTCCTTTCTTCTCGCTTTCATCCCTTACCTTCTGTAACAGGTTTAGTGGTTTCATTTCTGTGTCTGCTCTCAGCGCTGTGTCATCTGCATATCATATATCGTTAGGATTTCAGGCGCCTATAATGAATCCTAGTAGGACTTCTAATTCTCTCAGAATTGTCTCGGTTGAATAAATTCGGTGAGAAGACACATCTTTGTGTCTTACACCACTTTTTATTTTTGTATATCTGCTTAACCAATTTTCCTTCCGTATACAGGCGGTTATCTGCCAGTATATATTCTTAATGTCTTTTTTTAAAGACATTAAGTATGTATTCTTTAATGTCTTCCCAAATATGTCAAGGTTGCTGATGAGGTTTAACGGTTATCTGTGGCGTATTTTATCGAACGTAGTCTATAAAACAGAGGGACATGCCCTTCTGCATTTGTGTTTCTCTTTCTGATAAAATTCTGAGCATAAATATCCCGTTCGTTGTTTCAGTGTCTTTTACGAACCCGCACTGTTCTTGTCCTATCTCTAACTTGATACTGAGGCGCGCTGTATACATCAGAATTCGGATTATGAGTTTTGTTATGTGGCTCATTAGGCTGATTGTCCGCTGGAGAATTTCTTAGTAAGTAAGTGTTTTATGGAAGTGAGCTGAAATCTTGCCAAAGGAAAAAAAACAAAAAAAAAACGCCGTAGAAAGTTTCGTCAGGGAATTGTTTTTCTTCATGAAAATGCCGATGCCAATTTCTGACATCAAACAAGAGGTCCTCAAGGACACATGGCACAGTGGATAAAGGCGTTGGTTAGATCCAGTGACAGGACCCAAAGAGTGTGAGTTCAATACCCGGTTAAGGCAGTGGAGAACTTTCAGAGGGAAAATTAACAGGAGATAACTGATAACTGACATCCATCAAAACATGGCACGTGGAACTAGAACAGTCTACACCAGTGAACGAAATAAAGTGTTCAGTTCGACATTCCAACCACCCGAAGAAGGCCGGAGCGTACAACGGCCAAAACGTTGTGATAAATATGGCTACAAAGTTGAGGACAATAGTCCGAATAATGTAAATAATGTACATAATACCTCATCTCAGAAATATAGACAGACTCAAACAAGAGGGTGATTTTGTTAATTTCGATTGAAAACTATTAGAATCCTAATTAAGCATTTTTTGACTATCTTTATTACTTAACCTTACAGAATGTTTTAAATATACCCATTTCCAAGTTCTTTTTTTTGTTCAAGAGTGAATTTCTTCCTTTATTATTTATCTCTCAAATATTTATTTTTAGCAACAACAATAATAAAAATAGTTTTATATTTTTATTAGTTTTATTTTCTTATTTACTGGTTCCTTTTAATTATTTTCATTAAAGAAAGTGGTACCATTGAGAACGAACTGTTCACTCCGACATCCAGAGTAAAATATATATTGTCGTTCCTTGTCATGACAGACGGCTTAATTGTCGCAGTGGTCCCGAGAGCGAAATCGACTGGAGTTCCAACTCCTGTAGAGCCACTCATAGCAGTAAGGTCGAAGAGAAAGGATTAGACTGAACGTGACTAAATCCCGAAAATTCCAGCTGAGGGTTCAGCAAAGATCTACACAATCTCAACAACCAAATTGGCGGAAGTGGGCTGCGCCAGTCGTCCTGACCTTAACAGATGAAGCACTGACAGCCCGATCTCGTCTGTTTCAGTTCCCTTCAAGTCGCGAGGGAAGCGCTTCGAAGTATGAGGGCTTCTCCGTCCCATATTGTTGCCTACCAAAATCAAATTAACCTGAATGGCCTCGTCAAACACTCTTTGATTCACGACCATCGCCGCCACTGCCACTAGGGGTTGAGGAGAAAGGGAATAGGTAAAGATAACGATGATCCCGATGATCGGATGCGAACGGGTGCTGAAAACAACCCATTTTTAAAAGCATTAATGACGTAAATAGATACTTTGTTATTGTTTAAGAAGATTATCAGAATAAGCGATACAGATGCAGAAGGTCGTGTACCTATGTTTCATAGACTACACAAAAGCCTTCAACAAAGTACGCCACAAGGATCTGATGGAACTGATCAGCAACTTCGATATATTCGGGAAAGATATCAGAATAATCAAGAACCTATACTGGCAGCAAACAGCAGGCATTCGCATAGGGAATGAATTCAGTGAATATACAAAAATAAAAAGAGGTGTAAGGCAAGGATGATAACAACATATGCAGATGACACAGTACTGATAGCAGACACGGAAATGAAATTACAAAATCTCCTTGAGAAGTTAGCAACAGAGAGTGAGAAGAAGGGACTAAGCATAAAATACGAGAAGACAGGATGCATAGTCATCAGTAATACGATTTGAAGGTCCGGAACACTAGAATCAAGCAGACGCAGAAGTTTAAATATCTGGGAAGCGTCTTGACAGATGACGGTAAGTTCGACACTGAGATCCTTAGACATATCGGGATGGCCAAGGACGCATTCCAAAAGCTGGAGAGAGTACTGTGAGAGAGGAGGATTTCTTTGATAACTAAGAAAATAATACCGAGCTGTTACGTGACATCTGTGCTTCAGCGAATGTTGGACGATTTCTTCAAAGAAGAAGAAGAGACTCGAGGCGACGGAGATACAGAAGGATGCTGAGGATATCTTGGACTGAGTGTGTGAGCAACGATGAGGTCATAAAGAAGACGAAAACAAGGAAGAGGCTTATACTTAACATCAAAAAAGAGTTAGCTGAAGTTTCTGTGACACATAATGAGGAAGGAGGGCCTGGAGAATCTGATACTCACGGGGCGAATAAAAGAAAAGAGAGACATACATGGGACACATAATGAGGAAGGAGAGCCTGGAGAATCTGATACTCACGGGGCGAATAAAAGAAAGCGGTAATATACCTGGCTGGCTTAACCAAGTGAGTGATAGAACGTGGTCTGGAGTAGGAAGCAGAAGGAAGGAAATTGTTGAGAGCTGCAAGGGATAGAGGGAGGTGGAGATCCATGATCGCCTACGTCCTGAAAGGACACGGCACATAAAAAGAAGAAGGGGTTGTTCAGGAGGGAACCTGGAGAATCTGATACTCACGGGACGAATAGAGGGGAAAGAGAGACAAGGGAAGACAAGAAATATCATATCTAGCGGCTTTAAGCAAATGGATGACATAACGTGGTCTGGGAGAGGTGGCAGAAGGAAGGGGACTTGTTGAGAGCTGCAAGGAATAGAGGGTGGTGGAGAGCCATGGTCGCCTACGTCCTGAAAGGACACGGTACATAAAAAGAAGAAGAAGGGATTATTCATGAGGGCCTGGAGAATCTGATACTCACGGGTCGAATAGAGGGAAAGAGAGACAAGGGAAAAAAAAGAAATGTCATACCTAGTGGCTTTAAGCAACTGGATGACAGAACGTGGTTTGGAGTAGGAAGCAGAGGGAAGGAACTTGTTAAGAGCTCCAAAGAGAGAGAGAGAGAGAAAGGGGGGGTGGAGAGCCATGATCGCCTTCATCCGGAAAGGTCATGGCGCCCAAAAATAAAAGAAAATATATGATCGCATGAGGAATTTCATCAATATTGATGGAATTGATATGGAGAGACAAAGTTTATGCTTAAACACGTTTGCTTTTAATTCCTTTTTCTGCAAACTTCTTGATTCCTTCTTTTATTCCAGATTTTCCTGCTAAACTCAGAGAGATGAAGCCAAAACCAAACCCCTTCAAAAAGTTACTGATTTCGTTTTATCGCCCTAAACAATGAAACATTCAAACTGATTGTTTGTGCAT